GGGTCCGGGCTGGGGATTCGAACCCGCCACCTTAGGTGTACGTGGCTGGCGCCTTAGCCGGTTGAGCTATAGGCGCTGAGCCTGGACTTGTTTTTTTAATTTCATCTTCAGATTGCTCATTGCAAATGTATGGAAATACATTTGATTTTTGTATACTGTCTTTATGTTCTATAACATTGCCAAATTCAACTGTTGGTTCCTGTAGTTTTTACTGGATTCCTTAGGATTTTCTCTATCCAAAATCACGTAATCTCCAACAACCTACACTTCAAATGGAAACTCCTGTGGCTCTAGGAAACTCCCAGAAATATGATCACCAGTTATCAATATCAAGGTCTTTTAGGGTTCTGAATCTCCATTCTGCACAACTATCCTCATCACTATCAAATTGTTTTTTTCCAAATTAGACCATATTTGTGATCTTTTATAAAAAAGAGGGGTAAAGAAATCCTATTAACAGTAGCCTCAAGGACAAAGAATGTTATATTTCTTGCCTTTTATTTCTAATAAAAGCAATATTCAGGTATTACCATGTAGATTTTAACATCTCACCAACATTTATATGTGTGACAAATTATTGCAAAGAGAGTTTTTGATGTTCTTCTTACTGGGGGAGAAACAGATAAAGAATATTCTTATTATTACCTGTTGTCAGGCTACTACTTCAGAGGAGGGCAGAGATTATGGCTACTTCTTTAACAACTCTGTAAGTAGAAGTGATTAGTTAACAGTAGTGAGCACTACTTATAACTGCATTACTGTATTTGAGGTGGGTTTAACTGACAAGTCTATTTGAATTTTGGTAATGGTAATGCAATTTTTAGACAAAAGATTTTTCATAATTTTACAAAAAGTGTCTTTCTGAGAAAGGCTGGTATAAAACTTAGTGTACAGAACAAGAGAGAAAAATCACAATCTCATTGTTTTTTAAGTAATCAAAGAAAAGTCATCAGTCATATAATGAATGTCAAGGGAATTTCACACCTACAAAAAAGGTACTTGACCAGCAGTTACTCCTAGAACAAATAGGGACAGGAACTCAGTGTATGGTAAAGTAGCTGATATGGGCAAGAAGCATCTTCTATATTCAATTTTTAATAGTTTCTATTATACATATGAAAATCATAAAGAATTCTGGTTTGGTGCCCATAGCACAGTGGCTATGGTGCCAGCCAAATTTACCGAAAGTAGAAGATTCAAACCTGGCCCAGGCCAGCTAAACAATGACAACTGCAACAAAAAAACAGCCAAGGTGCTGTGGCAGGTGCCTGTAGTCCCAGCTACTTGGGAGGCTGAGGCAGGAGAATTGCTTAAAGCCCAAGAGTTTGAGGTTGCTGTGAGCTGTGACATCATGGCACTCTACTGAGTGCAACATAGTGAGACTCTGTCTCAAAAAAAAAAAAATCATAAAAAATTCTGTAACATTATAGAGAAAAGTAATAACAACAAAAATATTTCTTAAACATCATAAACATGTGCCAAGTACCAGTCCAGCTATTTCATGTGGATAAACTCATTTATTGCTCACAACATTCTTACAAGGAAGGTTCTATTTTTTAACCCCATACAGTTACACAAATGGGACTACACTGTATATAGCATCTCTTTAAAATTTAATATCTCATTGGCATATGTATACTTAGTAATAGAGATCTATATCATTATTTTTAGTATTCTCCAATATAGATGTATTGATTTATTAACCTGTCCTCACTGGTGGACATCTGGGTTATTTTGCAATTACAGATGTCACTGCATCATCATACAGTCTTAAATTTTGGCCATTGCTGACTCAGTTAATCTTTTAGGTTAAATTACCAGAAGTGGAGTTCCTTGTTCAAAGAGCATACACTTTTAATACCTATTTTTACAACTTCTATCCATAAAGGTTTACATTTCTACTAAACCTTGCACAAGCACAAATACAATGATTAATAGTATTTTTAGTAACAGTAAATGATAGGTAAGAAGTATCTCATGTATATTATCACTGAGCATTTTTTCATATATTTAATGCATTTCTTTAGGAAATTACATTTTTCCTTAGTGTATATTTCTGTTGGGTGTTGGCATTTCTTTTCTGTAAGACTCCTTTATACTTGTAAAAATTATTTTATTATTATTTTTCTTTTTTGAGACAGAGTCTCAAGCTGTTGCGCTGGGTAGAGTGCTGTGGCATCACAGCTCACGGCAACCACCAACTCTTGGGCACAACTGATATTCTTGCCTCAGTTTTTCTATTTTAGTAGAGATGGGGTATTGCTTTTGTTCAGGCTGGTCTCAAACTCATGAGTTCAAGCAATCCACTCACCTCAGCCTCCCAGAGTGCTAGAGTTACAGGCGTAAGCCACCATGCCAGTCTTGTAAAAATTATTTATATTGAGACAATTAACTCTTCATGTTAAAGAGAAAATATGTTATAAATCTATTTTCTCGTTTTCCTGCTAGGGTGTATTTATCACTTTTTTTTTGTTGCCAAATCCATTGGTCTTCCTTTTGGTTTCTGCTTTTGTGTTATGCTTAGGTTTCCATCTCCTAGATTATATAAATACTTGCTTATATTTTCTTCTAGTATTTGCATGATCATTTTAATATTTTAAACATTTCATTATTTTATCTAGCAGTTGTGTTTTGCACATAGTATGAGGTAGATATATAACTTCATTATTTTCATGAGGAGAAAGTTTCCCCAACATCAGTTTATTAAATAGCCCATACTCTGGAAAGCTGTCATTTCCCCTTCTTTTTTAACACAAGCTCTCTCTCTATTACCCAGGTAAGAATGCAGTGGCATTATTGTAGTTCACTGCAACTTCATACTCCGGGCTCAAACAGCCTCCTGAGTAGCTGGGACTACAGGTGCACACTACCACACTGGCTTATTTTTCTGTTTTTTATAGAGATGGGGTATCACTATGTTGGTCAGGCTGACCTCAAATTGCTGGCCTCAAGCAATCTTCTTGCTTTGCTCTTCCAAAGTGCTAGGCTTGAAGGCGTAAGTCACCACACCCAGCCTGTCAAAATGTTGCCTGTCCTATTGCCAAAATGTTGCCATGATGTTGATAACTTTTTTGTTAAGTTCTTTGCTTGCTAATCAAACCAGATGGAGTCTTTAACATTAGCGGATAAGGAACATTTTCCAATTTATTTAGTATACTTGTTTTGTACTATTGTTGAGAGAGGGTACTCACTGGTTGCCCCAGCTGGTCTGGAAACTCCTAGGCTAAATGAATCCTCCCACATCAGTCTCACAAGTGGCTGGGACTACAGGGGTATACCACCATGCCTAGCTAGTTAACTTCTTGAACATTAAACTAGATGTTTTGGCTTATTGTCTCCTAGTTCTGTTTTCCCTCTAGGATTTCACATACTTCTCAAGGACACTTGACTCCTTTCTAGTTAGCAGCTATCTTAGGGAGACTGAAAACTAAGTAGGTACCAGCCCTGGTCAAAAGCTATTGCCCCACTAAGGTATTCCTGGGAATATTATTTTGGCATAATGCTATTTATTTTAATAGTTGCCCATCCAGTGTGCCAGAGCCCTGTATATAATCTATATGAAGTAACAGTAAGGGTCACTGTTGGTCATAGTTATAAGCCCCTTGTACCAGAGCCCACTCTTCTCAAGACTGACATACGTGCTTAGCAGCCCAGAAGGGATACTTTCAACTGCAGACCTGTTTCCACTGGGTAATACTTAGAAGCTCATTAATAGTCCCTTAAATATTTTTCTAATCTTTTAAGAAAGGAATAGAGATGGACTGTCTTCAAAGTACACGGCCACTCCTTACTGTGTGGTTACCTCAGGAAAGTAGGGTGAAAGGAAATGTGTATTTGCCTATTGACTTCTTAGATAACCCATGCTTCAGTATTTGCTACTTTGTTCTTGTTCATCTGGGTCATCTCTACATTAATGCTTATTTTATTTTGGTAAGAGGCAAGATAGTAATATAGTAAGATCCTATTTATTGAAAACATGACTGGTGGGTGGCTCCTGTGGCTCAGTGAGTAGGACACCGGCCCCATATACTGAGGGTGGCAGGTTCAAACCTGGCCCTGGCCAAACTGCAACAAAAAAATAGACAGGCGTTGTGGCGGGCACCTGTAGTCCCAGCTCCTTGGGAGGCTGAGGCAAGAGAATCACCTGAACCCAAGAATTGGAGGTTGCTGTGAGCTGTGACACTACAGCACTCTACTGAGGGCAATAAAGTCAAACTCTGTCTCTAAAAAAAAAGAAAAGAAAAGAAAACATGGTTTGTATCCTTTCCTAACCTACCAATTACCTCATCCCCTGCTTAGATCAACATGCACATCTTTATTCATTCTCTTTGCTCATTATCTTCCTTCAGTTTTCATCATGTTTATGGAGCTTCCTGAACAGTTTGGGTTTTTTTTGGGGGGAGGGGGGTGGTGAGAGGAGAGGGAAGGAAATGATTGATTCTAGGAAAAATAGCACAGTTCAGTGAGCAAAAAGCTTAATGTTCGATGAGCTGCAGAGCACTTAGTGGGCAAGTTTTATAACTTTATAACCTCAGAATCGGATCCGTGTCTCAAAATTCTAGCTGTGACCAACACTGTGCAAGTCAGTATTTGTAAATTGGAATGCTCTATGCAAATGTATGGTATTATTATCAGTGGTAGGAATGTCATTACTAAGTATTTCTTTATGTTTAGAGAATATAAGTAGTATATACTCAGAAATGTGATAGACTATAATTTCTGTCTAAAAAAATCTATTTTTTAAATATCAGTTGGAATTGCTAAAATACCAGCTTCAGAAATGAACTTCTATAATACTTAATAGGCACGTGGTACCAAAGTACCTAATGGCATACAATTTAGTCTGATCTTTTTTTACTACAACACCAATTACTAGGTGTAGAGGAAATCTAACTAAAAAAATAAGAAGGAAGTGAACGGTAAGAAATGTAAGAAATACTTTGTATAATTTGAAAGTTTTGCTGGCTCGGCGCCTGTGGCTCAAGCGGCTAAGGCGCCAGCCACATACACCTAA